GGAATTTCCCATAGAAGTCATTGTACCCAGTTTTATACCTAAGTGTCTCATATTTCGTATTTAGTTACTAAGAACTCTTTAATTGGCAATTTTTTTTTGCTTATTCCTAGTACACGTGGTACAGGCCATGATAATCATGGTGGGTAGTTAGCGACTGCTTTTACTGTAAGCGCACCACATGTCTACACATGTGAAAAGCAGTTCGACTTTGCACTTACAAATGCCAGAGCCCCGTTTGGTTACTTGCACTCGCTTGGTGGGGTTGGACTTTTGCAAGAATCGGGGGCCATTGGAGCATTTTTTTTTAACAGAAAAAAGTGTCCAATGCGGGAATCGAACCCGGGTCCTAGTGGTCGAAAACCAAACGGCTTAACCAGCCTTCCACCGACCCCCTATTGGCAAAATTGATGGAAGAAAACATTAGATTTTTATAATCGATTGAATAAAATTTTTTCCATTGTATCCATTGTTGTCCTAAACCATATTATATATAAATTGCTATCGTTCTGAAAATAGAGCAATCCATATTTGAATCATCAGATAATAAAATGACATATATTGGTTTGAATAAAGGATTTAATTGGCAATATTTCGGTTGGCTGAACACTATGCGGCGCTGAGTTTGTTTATACAAAATTGTAATGCCTTGATAAAAGTTGGGGTTTAGCCAACCGAAATATTGACAAATAAATATTTTATTTTATTCAATCCAATATATGCCTTATTATTATCTATATGAATTTCTATTTTAAAAATTAAAAGAAAAAATGAATTTATACAAATGATTATATAGTAGAACCTCCTATCAGAGAAGAGGTCAAACCATAGATGTCACTGGTCTCTCTGGAGGTTCAATTGAAACGGTGGTTGCTAACCTCAGATGGTATCTGATGGAAGGGTTACCGCTATAATACACTCACTTGAAGTAAATACACTCATGGACAAAACTTGAGATACTTGTACTCTTTGCCATGTATATCGGTATTCAGACAAAATCTCTGGAAGATATTTGATACACAGTGACCTTTATTGAAGACACACGAGATAACCAAGTGTATATACACTCATGGACAAACTTTACGAAACTTAAGAAACTTGTATTTTTTACCATGTATATCGGTATTCAGACAATAACTCTGAAAAATATTTGATACACAGTGACCTTTATTGAAGACACATGAGATAACCAAGTGTATATACACTCATGGACAAAATTTACGAAACTTAAGAAACTTGTATTTTTTACCATGTATATCGGTATTCAGACAATAACTCTGGAAGATATTTGATACACAGTGACCTTTATTGAAGACACACGAGATAACCAAGTGTATATACACTCACGGACAAACTTTACGAAACTTAAGAAACTTGTATTTTTTACCATGTATATCGGTATTCAGACAATAACTCTGAAAAATATTTGATACACAGTGACCTTTATTGAAGACACATGAGATAACCAAGTGTATATACACTCATGGACAAAATTTACGAAACTTAAGAAACTTGTATTTTTTACCATGTATATCGGTATTCAGACAATAACTCTGGAAGATATTTGATACACAGTGACCTTTATTGAAGGCACACGAGATAACCAAGTGTATATACACTCATGGACAAAATTTACGAAACTTAAGAAACTTGTATTTTTACCATGTATATCGGTATTCAGACAATAACTCTGGAAGATATTTGATACACAGTGACCTTTATTGAAGGCACACGAGATAACCAATTGTATATACACTCATGGACAAAATTTACGAAAATTAAGAGACTTGTATTTTTTACCATGTATATCGGGATTCAGACAATAACTCTGAAAGGTATTTGATACACAATGGCCTTTATTGAAGACACACGAGATGATCAAGTGTAAACATAATTTCCTCTGTCTCATTAAAAAAAGAGACAAACGGAACATTAATGACTTTCTACTTTCTTAAGTTTTGTTCCAGCATTTTCTTATCTGACATGGTTCTAAAGACTCCTACTTCATTTATAAGCCGTGAATTGGGATAAGGTTGAAAATGTAGTGACACTAATAATATCATATATTTTTCTTCCTGGTATACTTGATGGATATTCTGTAATGACACACCTCTCAAAATATTCATTTATATGTCTCTCCTCTCAATCATATTTAGATTATATTAAAATATATCTCTTGTAGATTATTTAGTTTATTAATTAGCCATATGATTCTTCAAGAAGAACCAGATATATTGAATATATAAAGTATTTCTTTTTTGAACTTAAAAATTTTCTACTTTAAAGTTTAGAAAAATATAGAGCGCATTTATTTAGTCTTCAAAAAATAATGTATATGTATAAATAAATATAAAAATATTTTCACCAGAATTCTATTTTCCTTTTTCAAATAAATATTTAGTAGTAATTTTAAAAAATATATACTTTTATTAAAGAATATTATATGGATTTTATACATGTAAATATATTATATATGTTTTTTCATAAATAAATTAAAACAAAATTTCAAGCGTAAATAAGGTTCAGAAATGTTAGCCGGAAAATCCCCACCTGGATTTGTGGAATTATTTAGAATCCAGGCCGGAGATATGTTAATGGTATTTCCTACATGATAGCCCATGATAACCTCCTGGCTATCATTTCAATACGTAACCACACTAAACCACCAACACCTGCATGCTACTTCTCTAGCACAAGATTCCTAGCATAATACACTTAGGTTTCTAATATGCTGTTGTAAAATATTTCGAAAAAAAATTTGATCTAAAACTCTGAGGAAATTTTTATTTTCCAATTCAATATAGCAGAGAGATTGCACACCCAGCAATGTTTGGAATAAATATTGGTAGCTGTTTGCAAATTCGTTTGTCTGAAATAAAATACAAGTAGTAACATTCTTCGAGCATGAGTACACACAGATATACTTAGTAAACCTATATAAATTAATGGGTTTGATAGCTATCAATGTCGTACTCCAGTGTATAATATATTATTTTAAATGTAATACAATATAATGCGGCTTATACGATTGTAGGACGACACTTGAACGACACTTCCCATTCCTGGACACATTTTTTCCGTTTATCATTACTCTTCACAATACATCCTTTCATACTTCACCCCAAAGGATAGAAATAATCGTTATTTCTCCTTGAGATAAATTTAGATTTTTCGTTTAAAATAAACACATGCGGAATAATTTTCAAATGTCGTTCTATTTTAAATGTATTTATCTGTAAAATATATTTAAATTAGGTAATAAGCCTAATGAATAAGCCTTCAATTAGTATTTATTTCAATAAATTATATTACTTGATACGCGTAAAAATTTACTATTAGGCAATAATTCCATAACATTTTACATTAATATTTTCTTCTACTCGTTACTTATTGTTACATTAATAATAGAATAAATGTTCACACCTGGAAATAAACCTTAATTATATTTGATAGGCGTAAAATAAATCAAAGGGGTAGCATGTGTGGGGGAATCAATTAAAGGTCAATTTCCTTTCTCTAAGATAGCAGGAAACATTTATAAACGGACAGAGTAGCTTATCTGTGATCAAAGGCGAGAGCTCCGGTCTCAGAAGGAATTAGTACCCAGGTCAACAATAAACCGGTTCCAGAGATAGCACCTTACATAAATATCAAGTTCCGATTTGTTGTGTCATTATATTTATCTAATAATAGATATACTTACCTTATACATTTATATTTTCTAATATATATTTAATTACATATATAAAAACGATATATATTCTATTATATTTTATAAATATAATATCAATCAAAGTAGGATAATCCACCAAATGTAAAGAAAGTATTACTTATATGGGAATTGTTTGTAGCACGTCTAGAGGTAAGCGAGAGGCGGTGTTGCTAGCGACCCGTCTCGTCTGCTTCCAATATATTTAATTATACTCTCGTCTGCTTTAATATTATTTTTTTCTCTTAAATATAATATCGATTAAAAAGTTTCCTCTATGTGAGCATGGTTATAAAGATCTAATATTGATAAAAGGTATCAAATATTCTGTGTAATTTCCACGGCCTATTTGTTGAGATTTCCAAGGATATCTTCTACAGTTCCAATTATTCTACTGTTTTATCTTCCATATTTCTTATTTAAAATCTTGTGGATTAGGGACAGGAATCTTAGGCTCTTCAAATGATCTCGCGATTTCTATTAATTACGAAAATAAAAGTTTGCAATTTCTTCTCTTGTGTCGCTAATTAAGAAATATTTTAAGTTTATACTTACAATATCCAAATTATTTTCACTCACCCCAACATGAATTATATTCCCTGATCTGAATGATTTAACTCTTTTACATCAGCTACTTTGTCTATATAAATTTTATGAACTTTGTCGATTAATACATGTAAATTTGTAAATATATAATTCTAAGTTTTTTAATTTGTTTATTGTTATTTAATTATTTAAATGTATATTCTTCAAAACAAATTGAATGATATTTTACCATGCTTAATAAAATCAAAATTTTACTTTTATATATTTAAAATAGTAGCCATATCCTGACCACTATAATGAGCGTTTTTTAGTTGAAAGAGAGTGACATCTAGTGGAACAGAAATCAACTAAACGTTGATTTAACCTATTACTTGATATTAAACCAAACTATTTTATTGATAAATCAAGAAAAGCCAACCACAAACACGTTTCACGCTGTTGGCCCTCGTCACCAGGTACAGGCTATACCTTTGCGACCAAAAGTTCCTTTGGTCCCAAAGGCTTCTCAAGGAATGGGGTTTCAAGGCAAAACTTGCTCAAATACGTTCAACTTGTGAAAAAATAATTTTAAAAAATATATATTTACGATGTTTGACAATTATACCGCAAATGTTTCTTTTGAACGAAAAATCGAAATTTATTTTAAGGAGAAATAACGATTATTTCTAACCTTAGGGATGAAGTATGAAAGGACTAATTGTAAAGAGTAATGATAAAGTGAGTAATGATAAAATGATAAAAATAAAGTGTCCAGGGATGGGAATCGAACCCACAGTGTGCCGCTTACCGGACAAATGCCATATCCACACTAAGCTACCCTGGACATATTTTCCCGTTCGTTAATATTATATAAAAATTTCATCCCTAAGGTTAGTTAATCTTTATTTCTCCTTGAAATAAATTTCGATTTTTCGTTCAAAAGAAAAATTTGCGGTATAATTTTCAAACTTCGTTCTACAATCATAAGCCGCATTATATTGTATTATATAAATATTTGTTGAAATGTAAGATAAATGTAAGGTGGTGATATCAAAAGTTAATAAGCAGATCCTGACCGCTCATTTGAGCATTTTAGAAGGCAGAGCGCCACCTAGTAGAATAAAAATAAATTAAACGTTTATTTAACTTGTTCCATGATATATGGCCAACCCATTTTTTTTATAAATAAATAAAAGAAAAACAACCACGTAGACGTTTCGGGCTGTTGGCCCTTGTCAATGTGAGGAAGGTTGTATTTCAACGACCAAAAAAAATTGGTCCCAGAGGTTTTCTTTAAAATCAATAAATAAGTATTTAAGGCCAAGTATACGTAAATACGTTGTTCATGTTAAAAAAACGGAAAACAGTCGGGTCTTTTATTTATTTATTTTATTTATTACAAAACACACGCTATATCCTATGTGGATATTTGCATGTAAATGTTTAAACCATTTTATGTACATAGTTTTTAAATATATATACAAATTATTTATAGTTTTAGAGAGAGAGTGAAAGTCGGGTCTTGATATTAAAAACAAAAACTTTCATCGTTGAGGTACATCCTGCACTCCGCTGACGAGGGCCATCATCCAAAACTCATTTGTGGTTGGCCAAATTAAATGGAACAAGTTAAATCTACGTTTAGTTGATTTTTGTTCCACTAGATGGCACTCTGCTATCTAAAAAGCTCATGAAAGCCGTCAGGATATGCCTTTATGTTCTTTAATATCTCTCAACACCTAACCATTATTATTTTTTAATATCATTTTTCACATGAAAAACGTATTTACGCAAACTTGACCTCAAATGCCAATTTCTTGGTTTCTCAGGAAGCCTCCAATATTTGGTTGTAGAGGTACAGTCTGCACCACGCTGACGAGGGCCGACAGTCCACAGTACGTGGTTGACTTTTCTTGATTTATCAAGAAATTGGGTTGGTCAAAAATCACGGAACAAGTTAAATAAACGTTAAGTATATTTTTGTTCTACTAAATGGCGCTCTGCCATAGAGTTGCCCATGTGAGCACGGTCAGGACATGCCTCTATGTATATACTTTTAATTTACTTATTTATTCTGCTTTCAAAATTTTATCATTAATTTATAATTAATATGTATACACACAATTATTTACAATTACACTGTTGTATATAAATATCTCTCTCTTTCATTGATATAAAATAATAATCTCTAATATTAATTATAATTATTAGCTGAATGCAATATTTAAATCAAAGATACAATTCTTTCATTGACCTTGTAGAACGAGAGTGGTGTACGCGTGCTCACCTGTTTTAGTAAAAAAACACAAACAACCTCGATAAAAAGAGGCGAGTTGCCCCTCGAAATATTGGAACAATAAAATAATTATAAATCCAATATATGCATCTTTTTAAATTTAATTTTAATTATGGATTTCTCAATCTTCAATACATATATATCAAATACATATATGCTATGTGTGAATATATTTTTCTTCTTTCACTTTCGAGCAATTTCTACGAGAAAGTTTTATCAACGGCTGTAGATAAGCCAGCCATGGAGAGGGGAGCCGCCCGCTATCAGCACGTGAGCTGCAAATATTTCAACATCTCGCTCAATAACAGAATTTAATGTTATTTATAAATTCTAATTACGTTGCACAAATATAACCATTATAACATGTTCACTTCATATTTCTGATAGCAAACATCGCTTCAATTTGTTACAAGAACCTTGTACTCTTCTTGGCGCGCGTATATTATAGTCAATTATATAGAATACTTTTGAAATGATATAAATTTACCTTTATACACAAAATAAAAATAACAAAATTATGAATATCAAGCTATTCATATAAAACCACATACTATCATAGTATTCACTGTTCTTGAGACTTTTTTTTTCACCTAGATTAAACCTACCTTGAGGGTTTTTAAGCAAGTGTTCCTGTGCTATTCAGAAAATTTGGCTCTGTTCTTTGTATGTGTTTGTGTGTGTGTGTGAGTGGCCTTTATGAATAATATTAATGTATTAAGCATACCACTTTTTAAATATAAAAAAATCGAATGTTGATATATATATATATATATAAACCTACAATTCAAATTTTAAAACTATATCCGCGAACGTATATTTTTTTCTGAAATCGAACATTTTCCTTCTGCCGTTATTTCAATGATGAAATCTGTTATATACAGTTTGATTCCCCGTCACTAATAATCTCTCCCCTCGTGCCGATGGATGTATAATAGATTAAACTGGCGAAACCGCTGTGAGGGTGTTCTAGTGATGAGTCAGGTCCTTCCAATATGCTATCATCACACTAAGGGCAGTGATAATTTTTTAATATAATATAATAAACATAGGCGGGGAAGTAATTTAGTATATAAAATATACCCATATATTATTTATATAGACATACTCTCAAAGTTTGAAGCTATTATAGATGCGTATGATTCTTTGAAAAAAAAAACAATTTCTACTGCCCATACTGCAATGGAAATTTATAATTAAATAAGATAAAACTGGCGAAATCGCTGGGAGGGTTCACCACTGATAAGCCAGGACCTCCCATTAATTATTCCATTGCAGTAAGGACAGTAAAAATTGTTTTATTTTTAAATTAATCATACGCGTCTATAATAGTTTCGAATTTTGATAACAGATGGCGCGCTAATGCATCATAATATATATACTATATTTATAATTCTCAAAACAGAATATAATGTGAAAGATATTACTTATTAAGATTAATGTTACCATTTGATAAAAAGTAATAAAACTTTGTAGATGCTGAAATATTCATTTTACCCCATTTTTATAGATTGATCTTTAAATATTTATATTACAAACACAACACACGATTAGAAAAATAAATTTGTAATGTTTCATTTTTCAATTTATTTCTGAATATTCTCTTTCTAAGTGTGTATTTCTCAATACAATTGTATCGGTGTATTGTTAGAGGTTCTAAGTGTTATGTATTAATAATTGAAATAAACACCAGTTAAAAGATGTAATTTCAGAATGGATATCAATTACTTCTAATGGAAAATCTGTGTTTTTAAGACAATATTGTTTAAGTGTTTTTATTTCTACACATATACAAACAAAAAATATTTCGTTGCTTTATTTTGTTACTGTTAAATATTTATAAGAAAGTTTTCAGTTGAAAGATAATACCAATTAAATAAATGAAATAAATGAATAAAAGATTTGGGCAGAGAGTTTCTATCTTTATTATTTAAAATTTGTAAACTTTTATTTATAGTAGTAGTTTTTCAACATGCCAATTGAGATATTGGTAAAAGTTCGCACAATCTATATTTGAAGGTAATTTGAATATTCATAGATTAAACCAAATTGGAAATATTTTTATTAATTTATGTCCATTTATATAACCTTTTTTATTCTTTCATTGTTTTCTGATGGTCTTATTTAGACATCATTTTAATTAATATTTTTCTAGAAATAATATATCTCAGGAGAAAAAAAAACCTTAATTTTATTCAGTTATTCAAATTATTTTTTTCAAATAGGGCTTTTTATTTGTATTTCTTTAAAATAACCTTTTATATATAAAGCTCGCTTTTATGAATACATTTACCTGATAAAAGGATACTGTGTAGACACATAAACAAATAAAAATAATGAATAAATAGTTATAAAAATAATATTGTTTAAAAGTTGTTTCAATTAAAAATGTGAGTTAAAAAGAAACCTCGATATATTACCTGTGAAAAATTAATAGAAAAAATAGATAAATAAATAGGTTAGGTGTAGATATTAAAAATAAAAAAGACATATCCTGACCAGGAACACATATGCTTAACGCTGATGAGCGCCAACAGCGCGAAACGTGTTCGTGGATGGCTTTTCTTTATTTATCAAGATATTGGTCTGGCCAAATATCAGGGAACAAGCTAAATCAAGGTTTAATCAATTTTTGTGCCAATAGATGACGCTCTGTCATCTAAAAGGCACATCCTGGTCAGGATATGCCTTTGTTATTTTTATATATTATCTATATCAGCACTTAATAATTTAACTTATATGACTATAAATAGTAATTTAAATAATTAAGACGTGAATGTTTCTATCACACATGAATCAAATGTATACCCTCCTTAGTGCGATGAAAAAATATTGGAAGGGCTTGGCTCATCAGTGATCCAAGCGGTTTAGCCAATTTAATCTATCAGATCGCTTCTTTAGAGTTCTAATACTGTATCTCAGATCTAGAATCTCAGATCTAGAATCTCAGAAAAGGTATTCATGAAAGATATGGACATAAGCTTTAAGGACAGTAGAAATATGCATAATAATTGCATCGAGCAAACCATAAAAACAAGGCCAGTTAGGGACAAATTAATATAAAGCAATAATGCGCCATCTATATAGCCTTGGCTGCCCTTGACGTCACTGCGATATACTAGCCCATCGCCTGAAGTAATGATACGGGTTTCATTGGATACACGTCCTGGTCATATCTTGTCCGAATTCCTTGAACATTGAATTCATACATCCTATTTATGTTGTTTTAATTTCCATGGAAGTACTCTTTATTCGAAGCCTGTAAAAACATATGTCAGCAAGATATAGCACCACCGAGTTTCATTGGATACACGTCCTGGTCATATCTTGTCTGAATTCCTGGAACATTGAGTTCATACATCATATTTATGATATTTTAATTTCCATGGAAGTACATTTTATTCGAAGCCTGTAAAACATATTTCAGCAAGATATAGCACCACTGGGTTTCATTGGATACACGTCCTGGTCATATCTTGTCTGAATTCCTGGAACATTGAATTCATACATCATATTTATGATATTTTAATTTCCATGGAAGTACATTTTAT